TGCTGAACTCTTCTGCGTTTCAAAATTGAAGGGCAAAGTACTGCAGGAGGGGAGGGTAGAGAGGGACTCTTCTGTGTGACCACGGGTTGGAGTAAACGGCACTAGTACTGTGAGCGCTGACCTGAAGTGAAGACAAAAAAAAAAAAATGCATATGTGGGCCGCGCTTCCGTGCGGAGTGTGCGTAGGGCATGTATTTGAGGTGCCGGCCGCATTCATGATGATGATGAACACCACCCCCACTCTCTGTATCAAATGACACCCCCACAACTCATGGCGCCCCCACAACTCAACACTGCTGCTGCTGCTGTGTGGTAAAGGAGCCAAGGGTAATAATGTATCTAACAACAACGCACGAGCCTACTGCAGGTAATTTTTTCTCTCTAAAATGAAACAAAAACCATGACGCCTCCCTCTCTTATAGCCGGTAGCGTTTTATTTTTCTGAGACGGGCCAACTTTTCTCCCACGGCTCAGACAAACACCTCTCGCCAAACCTCACTTTATCGGAGGCGTGGATTCCTGTTCGGTTGGTCTAGTCAGCAACAATGTAGCAAACCACAGCCATTTTACTGTTGTATTCTTATCCCTTACCCAGATCATTCAATGTAAGTATTGGATTTGGTTGGGTGAGGCCTCCTGCGCCTGCAGGAGGGCCTCGCCACAAGTAACCCTTTGGGCTGGGTGTACCCAGGCCCAAAGTGTTTGAATGATCAGCAAGTTCATGAATATAGTAAGCATTGTGTAGGGCGGGTGGGATGGTCTCAAATATACCCCTTCTTCTCTGCTCCGGCGTATTTCGGGAGAGAAAAGGGGGACTGAACTAGGTGGGGTCATTTTCCAACATCCTTTCTGGAATATCTGACTCTTCTCGATTTCGTTCCGAAATCTAGATGCGTCTCAAATCCGAGATTACTGGAAACAACCCCAAAATCGCAACCTGCATTGTCAAATCCCGAACTCTGCAAATCGAACATCGAAAACAGACGAAACATTCCATTCTTCGTAACATTGCTGTAGTTAATTGTCATGACACACCAATTCCCCCCCCAATGACAATTGACAACAGCATCGAAGACATAGCATTTTATATAAATAGAGGGGTTACCCCTGGCCGATGGTACATGGAGAGGCGCGCCAAACACACAGGGGACAACAACAACGTAGATAGAGCCTTCTACCTAAAAAAATGCCACACGCAGAAGGAAAAAACAAAAACAACAAGCACAACCATAGTAGCGGCCTTCGCGACATGGCCGCAAGGATTCAAACCAATAACCCTATTCCATCATCATGATCCTTTCTGAACAGTTTCAACGCAGCCTTCATGCCGTCAAACATTCTTGCAGGTGCAATTTCAATCGCAAAACCAAATCCGAAAGAACGCCGAAACAAGCCAAAACCAAAAACCAAACAAAAAAACAATTCCGGATCCACAAACCCGCATACATCTGTCACTAAACCGCCGTTGCCCGTGGTTTCCATCCCCGCTGGGCGATGCATCCTTCTCTGGAAATTATCTCAAACCGTCAACAGCACAGAACCATTCTCAGACAAATACCAAACAAGCGGCAGCGCTGCATCAGAAAAACATCGGAATGGGGACGGACAATTCTGAGGAAAACAGCTTCAAAGAGTAGGCACAAAAACTCAAACGAAACAATGTTACAATTTCTTGGACGACAGAAACGAGTATTCGGAAAGCACATAGGCCCTAACAATCACTCCTGCCAACTCCTTGCTCCAGTATAGTCGTTGAGCACCAAACTAAACAGTGCGCACACGCAAATAGGTGCCGCCGTTGCTGTCCACGAAACGGATAGAAAACTAAACAAACATATAGACAGCCCCCCTGTTGTCACATCCCGAAACATACCCCTTACATTTCCAGAGTTCATGCAAGAACACTCCGCGAATATCAAAATGCCAACTAACAAACATGTAGACAGCCCCCCTGCAAAGGTAGCTGTTCATATGGGGAAACAAAAACAAATCGATTGCTGTTCATGCCCTCTAGAATCATGGTCACACATGACATCCCCCCCCCCATGATTCTGGATGTACATAAAAACAGCAACAAACAAAGAAGAAAAAACCAGTGCAAAAGTAAAACGCGCTGCCAGAAAGAAAGGCAAAAAAAACTAAACTAAACACGAAACCCACATTGTTAGATCAGACTCGATGTCGTCGCGCGATGCAAGGCGCGTCACGAGCCCAAACGGAGTGCCCCGCTCGGAGGGGCGACCCCCAGCAGGTTGTTCTTGATCTCCCACATGCACCCCTCCCAAACATCCTGTTCTCCACCGCCCTCCATCTCGTCGCTCCCCAGCTCGCCTTCCCCCAGCTCACCGGTCCGTATCATCCCAGGCCAAATCATCGACTTGCCGTTCAATACGCGCCGTCGGAGATGGATGTGGTCCATCGGCCTCGGAGGTCGGCACCGATTTGCGTGTCGGCAACGGCGCGGCGGCAGTAACAGCGGCGGGCAGCGGAGCGGCGGTAGTCCTCGTCGCAGTCATCCGCGGGTCCGGCAGCGCGGCGACATCCGGCGAGGATGCAGGCGGCACGGGGGCCCCGGGACTTGGCGGCAGCGGCGGCGGTGCGGCGGCGGCGGCGGCGGCTGCAGGCCAAGGCGCAGCGGTGTCAGCGGGCTGCGAAGCGGTGATGGCCCCGGGTCCCAACTCCCTGGGGAGGGTGTTCCCTTGTTGCTTGGCAGTCAAACTCAAAACGGGTTGGGGAAAGTAGCCAGCGCGGTGGTGGAAAACGTCAACATCCATTTGTTCGGCACGACCCAACACATCCACATCACACTTAGACGCAACACCTTCCCTCGCATCAAACATCCCCGCACTCGCCCCCGAGTCTCCCTGCAACTGCTCACCACCTTCGGGTGTTGACATCCTAGTGTGCCATACCGGGGCTTGAAAAGTCACAGCAGGCTTCACGACAGGAACCACAGGAACATCAGGCACAGACATACCAGCAACGGGAACACCAGACACCTCCCCATCACTAACAACTCTAACCTCATTTCCAGACACAGAATCAGACTCGCCTAGAGAATTCACACTACGTGTGAGGAAGAGACGAAGAGGGGCGCCACTTGCTGGAGGAATGTCGCCCGGAGGTGGAAAGGGGGTCGCGGTCGAGGAGGCAGAGGTCGTTGGATTAGCGCCGATGTACTGCTGCTGCTGCTGCTGCTGCTGCTGCTGCTGCTGCTGCTGCTGAGTCGCCGGCTGAGTAGCGGTGCTAAAGGCCTCGTTGAAGACTCGCTGCTCATCAGCGTCGGGCCCTGCAGAACGGGGACAGAACGCGCGGCCCCGACCCCAGCTTGCCCCTTGGTCGAGTTGGTGCAGCTGCTCTCGATATGATCCGCCCGACAAGCGCCCCGATTCTTGCCCCCCGGCCTGAGGAAAACCTGGTCCCCGCATACCGTCCCTCTCGCGAATGAACGCCATGAAGTCGTTGTAGTGGAACAAGAAGTCCTTGCGAAGTTTATGGCAGTCCGGGGTGTTGTGGGAGGAGTTCGCTCCGTGAACCTGGCAGAAGAAGGCACCTCTCTGCTCATGAGATGGTCCGCCATCCGCTCCCGCAGCAGCTGCTCTCCTCATGCCGCCGTCCCGGCCCGCGCCGGCAGCGACGGGCGCATGCCTCGTGTCCTCGATCCCCTCCCCAGACCTCCGTTTGATCCTCTGCTCGTGCTCGACCAGCCTCAGCGTCTCTTCCAGAGTACCTCTCGAAAGCATGGGGTGGAACAGAATACGGTCTTTGACATCGTCGTACATTGGGAGCAAGCCACGTGCAAAGTGTCTCGACATTAACGTCTCCTCTCGATTGTCCACACAAGACTGTAATTGCATCCACACAGTATTCGCTCTTCCCCAGTAGTCGACCAGAGTCTCTCCATGCTTCTGCCTAAGGCAG